CATACATTTAGGATATTGGTGTCCTCCTTGTCATTCAATTCAAAGAATTTTTTAATTTCTTCTTTGATCTCCTCGTTAGTCCAGTGGTCTTCCAGTAGTGTGGCTTTTAATCTCCATGAGGTAGGATAGTTCCTTGCCTTCTTTTTATGATTTATTTCTAGTTTGATGCCTTCGTGGTCAGAAAAGATGGTTGGTATGATTTCAATCTTGGTGTATCTGTTGATGTTTGTCTTGTGCCCCAGTATGTGATCGATCCTGGAGAATGATCCATGTGCGCTTGAGAAAAATGTGTACTCCGTTTTTTTTGGGTTTAGTGTTCTATAGATGTCTGTTAAGCCCAAATGCTCTAGGTCCTTATTTAGAGCTTTAGTTTCTTTACTTATTTTTTGTCTTGTTGATCTATCCATTGTTGATAGTGGTGTGTTGAAGTCTCCCACTACGTATGTGTTTTCTCTGATGTCTGTTTTCAGAGAGGACAACAGTTGTCTGATATATTTTGGTGCTCTTTCGTTTGGTGAGTATATGTTAATGAGTGTTATTTCTTCTTGAAGTATTGTCCCCTTAATCATAATGTAGTGACCATTGGGGTCTCTTTTTATTTTTTTGAGTTTGAAGTCTGTTTATCTGATATAAGTATAGCTGTTCCTGCTTTCTTTTTTGGCCAATTTGCTTGTAGGATTGTTTTCCATCCTTTGACTTTGAGCCTATTTTTATCTTTTGTAGCTAAATGTGTTTCCTGGAGACAGCAAAAGGTTGGGTTTTGTTTCTTAATCCAGGCTGCAACTCTGTGTCTTTTTATTGAAGAGTTTAGTCCATTTAAATTTAGAGTTAATATTGATATGTTAGCATCTGTATTTGCCATTATGTTTGTCTTTCCTTTGATTTTATTTATTCTTTTAATAACTTTTTTTTTTTTTGGTCTTCTTTCGTTGTTATTTGTCCCTCTGAGGTTCTGGCTTTAGGATTCCTTGTAGTATTTTTTGGAGTGGGGTTTTATTCGTAATGAAATTCCGGAGTTTCTCTTTGTCTGGGAAGGTCCATATTCTTTCTTCATGGAGGAAAGAGAGCTTTGCGGGATAGAGTATTCTTGGTTGGCATCTGTTTTCTTGGAGTCTGTTGACTATGTCCCTCCACTCTCTCCTTGCCCGTAGTGTTTCTTCAGAGAAGTCTGATGTCAGCCTGATTGGTTTTCCTTTGAATGTTATCTGTTTCTTCCCTCTTGTCAGCTTCATTATTTTTCCTTGTCCTGGATTCTTGGGAGCTTTACTATTATGTGTCTTGCTGTGTTTTTCCTTTCGTCGTGGAAGTTTGGTGTTCTTCTTGCTTCTTGTATATCAATTTTCAGCTCCTTCGCATTTGGGAAGTTCTCTTCAATTATCTCCTGGAATATTTTCTCTGTTCCTACATCTCTCTCCTCTCCTTCTGGAATTCCTATAACTCTTATATTTCCTTTCCTCATGGAGTCAGATAGTTCCCGAAGTCTTTCTTCATTCTTTTTCCTTCGTACTTCTCTTTCCTTTTCTGTTTTGGTTCTTTTTATTTCTGTGTCTTCAAGAGAACTTATTCGTTCTTCCATTTCATCTATTCTGCTTTCCTTGCTTTTCCCGGAGTTCTTTAGTTCCTCCATTAATTCTTTGATCTCCTGCATTTCTTTTACTTCCCTCTTTAGGGACTCAATTTCATTCTTCTGACCATTGTTTTCCCTCTTTAGGGACTCAATTTCCTTCTTCTGATCTATCACTTTTTCAATCATGGCAATTTTAAATTCTCTTTCTGGAAGGCTCAGAAGTTCTTCCAAGTTGCTGTCGTTGCAATCTGGGGAGTGGTTTTCTTTTTGTGGTGTGCTTCTTTCCTGAGGAGTTGTTAGGTTGCGTGTGGTTCTTCTACTCCCTACTGTCTGTTTTCTAATTTGTCGTATGCGTTGGGACACTGTATTGCTCGGACTGACTGACATCTTGGGTGAACTTCTCCGCTCCCCTCTGGCTCTTCCAGGAGCCATCTCTGTCTTCTGGGGGAGCTTTCTGCTGGTTTTAGGCAGTTTTTACTGAAGAAATGTCCCTGTTCTCAAATAGCAAAGCGGGATGCAGTCCCTGCGCCTCCGGTTTCAGGCACACTCTTCTGCGCACGCGGTCTGCCCCGGACGTTTGTGCCTGCTCCCTCTGTGGGCTCAGACTGCTGGTCGGAAGGGGCCTGGCGTGGAATAACTTCCCGGCTGGCCACTGGGTCCTCCAGACGCCTTCTGCCCTTTTCAAGCAGTCTTAAGAAATTTCCTGTTTTATGGGGTGTTAGTGACTTTTTTTTCCTGGTCGCTAGGTGGCGCCAGAGATCTCTCCTATTGTCCTTGGGGGGCTGTTTTTCGCCTCCCCCCACCCCGTGGGACAGGGAACAGAGCGGGAATGGTAGGGTACACCTCAACAGCTTTGGGGTGCTGTGTCTGCCTTGTGCCCCACCGTCGTGGAGAACCCACGCCCCGAATTTTTGTGCCCCGGTCTCAGTTTCAAAGCCCTCAGTTCCAGGATGCGGGCTGTAGCCCAGTTCAGTGGCGCGGGAATGGCGCCTTTTGCACCGCTCCCGTGCCTGGGCGCCTGGTTCCTGCTCACTCAGGGAGGGACCTTCACCTCAGTGAGGACCTCCGCGCGTCTCCCCGCAAGCCTAGGTCGCAGGCGCGGGGACCTGGGCAGCTGTGATCCCGGTCTGCACTTGCTTTTCAAGCGCGCCTAGCGCGCCGCTTTCCCGCGCCAGCTTACCGGCAGCCCGGGCTGTGTGCGCGTCTCCCGGGGTCTTTGTTCTTCTCTAATGGCGCCCGGAGCCGTTCGCTCACCTCCGCGGCGGATCCTGCAGGGTTCGCCTCAGCTCCCGTTCACGGGGTGTGGTGGCTGCAATAGTTCCTTTCCACTCCCAGTCCCGCTTGCTGCGTAGTTTGTTCTTGTGGGCTGTTTTGGTTTGTTGTTTTCCTCCTCTCTGCCGGTCGGAGAGTGCCGCCTCTGTGGGCGGGGGAGGGGAGCAGGGTTCTCCAGTTTATATTCTTTTACCTTTCAAGTTTTTACATGTTAGATTTTAAAACAGGACAAACCTGTGAATGCCACTGTTTTTCAATTTTTTTTTAAAGATTTGTTTATTTATGCATACAAGAGCTGGGGTGTAGGCTAGAGATGCGGTGGGTGAGAGGATTCACCAGAGACAGAGCGGGGAGCAGAACAGGCAGATGTACTGAAATACACTGCTGAGGGAACAGCGGGCGAGGCAGGAGAGGTTTGCACGCCATTCAGGTTACCTCCCTGGATGGGGATCAAACTCGTGCTGCAAGTAGCTGCAGATTGCTTCATAGAGCTGACACTTAACCCCTTGCGCCACCAAGAAGGCCCCTGTTTTCCAATTTTTCATTGTGAATATTTTCAAACAAATAGAGAAGTTGAAAGTGCCCCATGTCCTTTAAATACACCCCCGAAACTACAGCATACACCTAAAAAATAAAGGCATTACATAACCATATTACCATGACCAAACCTAAGAAAATTAATAATTCCATTATATCATCTATTATCTACTGCAGTTAAATTCACCAAATAAAGGAATTTTTTTTTTAACTAAAACACATTTAAAAAATTTTTTTAAAGATTTATTTGTTTATACAAGAACGGGGCTACAGGCCAGAGGCGCAGAAGGGTGAGAGAATTCACCAGAGACAGAGAGGGGAGCAGAACAGGCAGACAAACCGAAAAACACTGCTTAGGGGAGCAGCGGGTGAGACAGGAGAAGTCTGCCTTGCTGTGTGGGTATCTCCCTGGCTGGCCAGGATCAAGCCTGCTCTGCAAAGGCTGCACGCACGGACAGCTTCACAGCACTGCATTCAACCTGCTGCGTCACCGGGGAGGCCCTAAAATACATTGAATTTAATCAGATTACTTTTATGTAGTGTTAATTTTTTTATTACTATAAGAAAATATGTCCTTAAAGAATACATACACATGCACACACACACATACGAAACGAGCAAAAAAATAAAAGAATCTACCTAAAGTGATATGTTGACACCTCATATGTATCGTTCCAGATTCTTTTCTGTACATATGTGAATTTTTAAACTGAACATACAACAAATGTACTATTTTGCTACCTCCTTTTCCAATTAGTATATTGTAAGCATTTATATTTCAGTTAATAGACTTATTCAACATTTTTTTCCTACAACATTTGATGACTTGTAGTATTATTTGAACTATATCACAATTGATTGAACCAGTTCTTTTCGTTGGATATTTAGTCTATTATTTCTGAGTTTGGACTGCTGCAAATACCACTGGAAGAAATATCTTATTCTCCTTTCATTAGGGGATTATCTCAGAAACAGAATTACTAGTTCAAAGAGCACATGAATTTTTAAGGTTTTTAATACACGTTGCCCACTAGAAGGGTCATCCATCCTCAAATCAACATAGCTAAGTACTCGAACTTGCACATTCTTTATCAAATAATATGTGTCTTTTCAAAATTCTCATTTATTTACTATTTTAATTTTAATAAAGTTTATCTCATTGTACTTTTAATTTACCTTTCTTTAAAGCCTAAAGAGATTGAACATTTTGTATTTTATTGTTCCATGTCCTTTTTTAATTTGTGAATTTGCTGTTTTGTTACTAGTTTAATAAGTTTTCTATGCCAGGGCCTCCCCTGGTGGCACAGTGGTTGAGTGCTGGGCTGCCCACAGCCTCTGTAGTGCCGGTTCGTTTCCCAGCCACCAGCGAGGGTCCCACCAAAAAAAAAAAAAAAAAAAAAAGTTCTCTATGCCAAATTTTAAAAAAATAGAAAATAAGTCAAATACTTGTATATTTTGGAATTTGTGCTAGTTGTCTCAGTGTTACCCAGCAGATTAATATACACTAGCAAAGAATGATTATAGAAAAGTATCTTCAAATAGAGGCAAGAAAATAACTTCTCATTCTTTAATTAAAAACCCTGAAAACCCAGACCTACATTTCCTTCCTTTTATATCATTACAGTGTGCAAAAAGGTTTGATGAACTGAAGAGCAGTGGGAGTTCACCTGTTGACAACCAGTATAATACCCTAATGGCTACTGGAGAGAGTCCTATTGAAACTTTAGCCATGTATATTAAATCCTCACTTCTTGACACACAGGGAGAATTTCAGGAGACTCCAGTCGGTCAGGATACAGTTTCCAAAACAGGTGAGATTTTAAAACCAAGATGTAGTTCTTGGCCTTATAATTCTGTAAAATATTATGTACTGCAATCAGCTTTATTTAAAGGCTAATGTAATCATTAACAGAAAAATCTATTTGTATCTTGACAAAATTTGGAAATTTCCTTTGCTATATTTGAAAGAAATGTTCGGTGTTACTAGAAAGTTAAACACTATCAAAAAAGAGAGAGAGAAAGAGAGAAAAAGAGAAATGCTTTACTATATCAAAATTTACTGCTTCAGTCTGTTAACCTAGTAATGTCATCAATTTAAGGTATTTGACCTGTACTTTTCACTCAGTTGTTTTTTTAAACTAGAGGATATTGCTTTTCTCTCTTGATATCTTTTTTACAGCTACCATTTCTTGTAGTCGACAGTAGCTTCAAATGCCATAGTAGAAGAGTAGAAGAGATGTTTCCTACAATTATATTAGAAATAATAGCTGATTGTAGTAATCCCCAGAGTGTAATGAATTATTTTAATCTCAGTAGCAGCAGTCAAAATGTTGATAATAAAATTTGCTTTAGGAAGAGAAAACTATATTCCTGTCTTTTGAACATTGGATCCCATCTATATATACCATATCAGTATTTTTAAAATCATCAGTGTAACACTGGCAATTTGCAATCCTTTTTTGGTACTCTTTTTCTCCAAATACCTTTAGAAATATTAAGGAAATGCTTCCTGACGAAAGACCATCTTTTAATTAGCCTTAGAAACCACATTTACAGTATAACCATTCAATAAGTAAAAACCCATTTTCAGCTAGAAACACTAACCTCCCCCTTTGTTTTTGTATGTGTTTGTTTCTGTATTTAAGGAAGACATAGTATAGCTTCCACAAGGAATTGTTCTTCAGAAAGTGAAAATTGTACTACTCGTAATGGTGGAGAAAAGACTGAAGAAACTGAAGGGTAGGAGGCTGGTTCTTTGCTGGATAAGAGTTAATATGAATATCAAACTTTAAATTATATATGATTGGTGATTGTATACATCAGTTACCACAAGTTAGGAATTTAACATCATGCAATTGTTGAAACAATTGACTTGTGTGTTAAACTAGAAATGGTTGCTTTATAGCTAAACATATAACTTATTCATGTTGTTATAATTTAGACTATAATTTCCCATTTTAAAATATTATTTTCATATTTGTAAATATTAGAAATAATGTTTATTAGCAAAACTCTGAAAAAATATATTTTAAAACTCAGAAAAATATCTGTCATTAGTTCCCAATTATATTAAAGAAACTGGATGTAAATTATAGAACTATTTGAATAAAATTACTTATTGTAGAAACATTTAAAAATAGAATATATCTTTCAGTAAATTGCGAGTTTTTTGATAGCTTTATATATTTATATACAATAAATTGTAGGTATTTTAAATATTCACTTTGATGAGTATTAACAAATGAGTAAACCATGTAACCTTCACTCAAGATATAGAAAATTTTCATTTTCTTTGAATGTTCCTTTGTGTATTTTTAGTTTCGATTTTTTTTAAATAATAGCTTTACTAATATATAGTTCACATGCCATAAAAGTTTGGAAAAGTTCTGGGTATATAGTAGTATAACAATGTGAATGCCACTGAACTCTGAACTGTGAATTTAAAAATGGCTGAACTGTTTGATTTTATGTTCTGTGTTTTTTTACCACAAACAAAACTCACGCGTTTTAAGTTTGTTATTTATTCACATATATTTTAACTGATAGGCTTGTTTGTGTGACACAAAAATTCACTGGAAAATTTTTTACTGGAATTATTTAGTATTTTATATTGTGATCCAAATAGCCACAGACACTTTGTGTTTCATTATACAGTCAGTACCTATTTATATTTTAACCACAATTTATTTTGAAAAACAATTTGCAAAGAATTATTTAAATTTCTTTCAGTTTGATAGTAAGTTGACTGATCCTTTTTCTGGTAGCCCATTTTTATCTCAAATATAATTTTTTTTTGTATTAGAAGTTATGAAGTTTTATTAAACACACTTTAAATTCATATTGTAGGGTAGTGTTTCTCTTCCTTTAATAATGACAAGAAGGGCCTCCCCTGGTGGCGCAGCGGTTGAGCGCTGGGCTGTGAGGCTGCCCGCAGCCTCTGCCGCGCCGGTTCGTTCCCCAGCCGCCAGTGAAGGTCACACAAAAAAATAAATAAATAAATGATGACATGAAGACAGTTGTGGATCACACTGATGTGTCTTTTTGGGATGATATATATTTCAAAGAAAAGTAAATGAAAGTATGTAATTTTTGAAGTCATCTTTCTGATGCATTGTCTGAATTTAAATTATTTTTAAATATGTAATTTGGCACACTGTAGTGTTTAGAATCTTTTTACTTTTATTAACTAATTATTTGTAGTGAATACCTAGAAACAAACTTTCTTGCTACTAAAATAAATTGGTAGCCATGAAAATTTTTTGAGTCTATAGTAGCCATGATAGTTTTTTGAGTTTTTAATGAATAATTTTAACTGTTTTTCCTCTTTGTTAGCAGTAAGAAAATTTTAATATTTAATCTTATCTCTTTCCATTGCCATGTAAAAGTGCTGTTTTATGTTCCTCATAAGTAAATATTTTTGTTACATCAGTCACTAAACTAAAATTAGCTATACTCTAAGATAAAGATCAGGTTAACAAGACACTTGTGAAAAATATTTTTTAAATTCTGAAAATGTTGAAGCCTATGAAACTGATTTGTGGTCAAAACCTTCAAAAATGTGTTTTTGTACCTCCAATAAATGTCAATATTCTTGACTCCTCTTCTGAAACTCTAATAATTTCATTTCTGTGTGACTTTTTTTTATGAAGGCCAAACATGGTGATCCATGTATGTGATGAAGCAAAAAACTTGAAAGAAGATTTTATTTGTCCACGAGATCTTTTGATATCAGAAATGAAGTACTTTGCTGAATATTTATCTGTGGATGCCCAGCGCTGGGAAGAGGTGGACATTTCAGTTCATTGTGATGTTCACATTTTCAACTGGTTGATAAAATACGTTAAAAGAACCACCAAAGAGAATAAAGATTCTGAGATCCCCACTTTAGGTAAAAGATAATCTGTTACTTTATTTTGTAGTGAAATTTTTGTGTCACCTGGTAATTGCTTTGGACTGAACTTGAAATGTGGAAAAATTGTTTGGCTTTAGTATTTTGTTATAATAAATTTATTTTATGCATACAAGAGCTGGGGCGTAGGGTAGAGGTGTGGGGGAAGTGGTGGGACGTGGGTGAGAGGATTCACCAGAGAAAGAGTGGGGAGCAGAATAGGCAGATTGACTGAATTACACTGCTGATGGGAACAGTGGGCAAGACAGGAGAGGTCTGCTTGCACCACGTGGGTTAGCTCCCTGGCTGGGGATCGAACTCATGCTGCAGTGGCTGCCTATAGCTTGATAGTGCTGAGATTTAACCCCTTGTGCCACCAGAGAGACCCTGGACATTAATATTTTTGTTCAGATGTAATAACCACCTTTTAGAAAACATCTCTCATCCTTTTCAGTAAATTATAGTGAATTTATAACAAATGGACAGGTCTCTACATCAGCAGTTCTCAGTGTATTTTATATGGACACTTTGAGTTGTAGAGATTTTTCTTTTTGTTTTGGTTTTTTAAGAAGAAGATGCATAAGCAGTACAATTTGCATAGAATTGCTAGGATGTTCTTTGTCTTTCTGTGTTGACATTTGTTAAGATGGTGCAGAAGTAATAGAGGGTAAAAATTTTGGAACTTGAGCACTCATCAAGGTGGGGGCACTAAACTATACTAGTGGTCACTGTATTCTTTAGCTCTGTATTCTTATAGTTAAGGAAAAAAAGGGAGAAAAACTCCAGTTCCACTTAAGAATGTCCTTGATAAGGTGCCTCCCTGGTGGTGCAGGGGTTAGAGACAGCACTATCAAGCTATTGCCAGCCAGTGCAGCATGAGTTAGATTCTCCCGGCCAGGGAGGTGACCCACATGGCGCAGCAGACCTCTCCTGTCTTGCACACTGCTTCTCTTGGCTATGTATTTCAGTAGATCTGCCTATTCTGCTCCCCACTCTGTAGCTGGTGAATCCTCTCACCCCCTCCCTGCACCTCTAGCCTACACTGCAGCTCTTTTATGCATAAATAAATAATTTTTTTAAAAAAGCATGTCCTTGACGCAACAGTTAAAATCACCTTTTTTATTAACTTCTGACTCTTGAACATACATCTAGCCAGTACTCTTAAGTGATGACGTGAGAGCTGCACTGCTGCTGATAGCAAGTGTAATGTCTTCAGGAAATGCTTGCATGGCTGTTTGAGTTATAAGCCTGAGTAGCTACTTCTTAAAAAAATTAGAATACCCGGCCTTCCTGGTGGCACAAAATCTCAGCACGATCAAGCTAATGCTAGCCACTGCAGCATGAGTTCAATCCCCCAGTCAGGGAGCTAACCCACATGGCGCAGCAGACCTCTCCTGTCTCGCCTGCTGCTCCCCTCAGCAGTGTATTTCAGTACCTCTGCCTGTTCTGCTCCCCACTCTGTCTCTGGTGAATCCTCTCACCCCACCGCACCTCTGGCCTATACCCCAGCTCTTGTATGCATAAATAAATAAAATAAATCTTAAAAAAAACCCAGAAAACTGCTTTTCTTGAAAAAGTAGTTGACAGTTTATAGTTTTCATACTTAGGTAGATAACAGACATTTTCTTGAAAATGTACTAAGTGGATCTAGTCAATGAAAGGGAAACAACACATTATATTTGGAAAACCTTTATCTGCTTTTATGTGCTTGGCAACTTCTAAATCTCTGAAGACTTTTCTAATTAGAATGGTGGGCATATTAATGAATATGATTTTTTAATATATTGTACAATGAAATTTTTCCGTACATAGACGATCTACACAACTCAATGAGCCAATAGTTTTCAAATGACCAGTGCATGATGTTTTCAAAAAAATCATACATGAGTTAAAGATCTATGCAAAGTGCAAGGTACAGGTCAGTGGATTTTGAGATAACAGATTAGGAAAAGTTCATTGATATGATTTCACATTCCATTGTAACTAGCCTTTAAGAAATTACCATTTGTCCAGCTTTGATGTAGCATCAAATAAAACTACCCACAGATTGAATGTAGAAAGAGGAGAATCCAACTGTATTCTATTAGTCAGACATTAAGGAAATTTGCAAAAAATGTCAGTGTTACAGTTCTTTTTTTAGAAAGATTTATTAATGTATGCATACAAGAACTAGGGTACAGGCCAGAGATGTGGGAGGTGAGAGGATTCACCAGAGACAGAGAGTGGGGAACAGAACAGGGCGACTGACTGAAATACACTGCTGAGGGAAGCAGCGGGCGAGTCAGGAGAGATCTGCCGCACCATGTGGATAGCTCCCTGGCCAGCCGGAAATCGAACTCGTGCTGCAGAGGCTGCGGATAGCCTCATAGGTTGCATCTTAACCCCTTGTACCACCAGGGACGCCCACTTCTTACTAATTTATTTTTCATTTTGGAAAATAGTTACTTTTTGTAAAGATATATTAATGTTTATTCTTGTCAAATGAATTAATAAATAATAAAATTCTATGTTATAATTTCTATTATGGTAAAGAATGATAAGTGTAACCCATATAAACAAAAGCCCTTTCAGATTCCCATTTTTAAAATCACAAAGGGATTTTGAGAGATTTATTTATTTATTTTTATTTTTTTAAAGATTTATTTATTTATGCATACAAGAGCTGGGGTACAGTCCAGAGGTGTGGGAGTTGAGAGGATTCACCAGAGACAGATTGGGGAACAGAACAGGCATATTGACTGAAGTACACTGCTGAGGGGAGCAGTGGGCGAGACAGGAGAGGTCTGCTGTGCCATGTGGGTTGCTCCCTGGCTGGAGATCGAACTCGTGCTACAGAGGTTGCAGACAGCTTCATAAGTTGCATCTTAACCCCTTGTGCCACCAGGGAGGCCCTAATTTTGAAATTTAAAGTTACAGTGTTCTAGGGCCTCCTTAGTGGCGCAGCGGGTTGAGCACAGCGCTGTGAAGCTGTCCGCAGCCTCTGCAGTGCAGGTTCAATCTCGGTCGGCTGGCGAGAATCCCACATGGCTCAGCAGACCTCTCCTGTCTCGCCTGCTGCTCAGCAGTGTATTTCATTTCAGTCCTTCTGCCTGTTCTGCTCCCCGCTCTGTCTCTGGTGAATCCTCTCACCCTCCGGCACCTCTGACCTGTACCCCAGCTCTTGTATAAAAATAAATAATAAATCTTAAAAAAAAAGTTAAAAAAAAATAAAGTTAGTGTCCTAGATGATACAAAGTATAATAACTAAGTAGTCTTTCATTAGGTATAGCTTGTACAGGAAATTGCATTTGTGATTTAATAAAGTCTGTGTACTAAAATTGGTATTTATAGACATACCAAAATATTTCTAAATTTTTATTAGTAAATATACTGATAGTATAAAAGTTGTTTAAGGAAGTTATAATTTGTTACTTTTTAAAATTTTATTTATTTATTTATTTACACTTTAGAGACCAAATAATGGGAAAGGTTTCCATACTTTGTATCATCTCCAGAATAGATTATATTACAGTTTCCTCAGGAATGTTTTCACTAGCTCCTTCCTCTCTTCAGCATTCTATTTAAGAACATTTACGCTAGAATTATTATTTAAGGAAAGATTAGGATTTCTTAATCATTGTGTACATATTTCTTTATTTAGAATGATTCTCTTACTAATGTAATAAGAAATTGTAATTTTTCTTTTTCTTAAATAGGTGATGACTTAGGTTTATTAAGACAAAAGTGACAATTGGCTTCATCCTTTCCCTGTTTTATTTTTTGTTTATTTTTGTTTTTGTTTTCATTTTATATATATTTTACATCATTCTTCTTTTTTGTACAATGTTTGCTTTCTCCTCTCAGGTGTAGTCCCCATAAAATTCCCACCACCAGTTCACCCATGCATTATCACCATAGTCTCTTGTGCTCTTCCCTTCTCTTTTGATCTCTTTCCTTCCCCCTCCCCTACAGAACATCTCTGACTTATAGTTGCCTGTTAATTTTGGTTTTTAATTTATTATAGTTTTTTTTCCTGTTCCCTATTTCCCCTACATTCCTCATATAAGCGAAACCACCTGATATTTTTCTTTTTCTTTCTGGCTTATTTCGCTGAACATAATCCCTTCCAGCTCCATCCATGTTGCTGTGAATGGCATGAGTTTATCTTTTTTGACCGCAGTAATATTCCATTGTGTATATACCACATATTCTTGATCCAGTTATCTGGATCTATTTTTTTTATGTCCTTTGGGTAGACTCCTAGGAGTGGAATTGCTGCATTATATTTTAGTAGTTTGAGGAACCTCCACACAGCTTTTCGTAGTCGTTGGACCAGTTTGCATTCCCACCAGCAGTGTAGGAGAGTTTCCTTTTCTCCACATCCTCGCCAATATTTGTTGCTGCCATTTCCACTGGTGTAAAATGGTATCTCATTGTGATTTTGATTTGCATTTCCCTGATTAGAAGTGATGTTTCATGTATCTGTTGGCCATTTGTACTTACTCTTTGGAGAAGTGTCTTTTTAAGACTTGCCCATTTTTTTGACTGGATTGCTTACTTTGTTTTTGTTGAGTCGCATCAGCTCTTTGTAGATCTTTGTGAACAGTCCCTTATCACTTGTATTGTGTGCAAAAATTTTCTCCCAATCAATAGTGTGTCTATTTCGGTTAATGTCTCTTTTGCTGTACAGAAGCTTTTTAGTTTGATGTAATCCCAGCTGTTCATCTATTCCTTCACTTTCTTTCTTTTGGGCAATATGTCTTTAAAGATGTTACTGAGGGCCTCCCAGTGGCGCAGAAAGTTGAGTGCAGTGCTGTGAAGCTGTCCACAGCCTCTGCAGCACGGGTTTGATTCCCGGCCAGCTAGGGAGATACCTACATGGCGTGGCAGACCTCTCCTGTCTCTCCCGCTGCTCCCCTCAGCAGCGTTTTCAGTCCGTCTGCCTGTTCTGCTCCCCGCTATGTCTCTGGTGAGTTCTCTTACACCCCGCACCTCTGGCCTGTACCCCAGTTCTTGTATAA